CCAACCAACCAACCAACCAACCAAATAAGCCTTATAAAATCCGAGCCCAGGCCCCACCATAAAGCCCCGAGCGCCCCTGATGTGCCCAGGAGGAGGTGGCGCAGTTCACCCTTGAGGCACCCGCCGGAATTTCGAACCCGACATGGAGGTTCATGGGTAGTTATAAGTGGGGTTATAAGTCCCCTAATATGGGTTATAAGTATACTTACTCTACTTATCACCCTACTTATAACTACCCATGAACCTCCAAGTAAAGTTTAGGGATTTAGGGTTTAGGGCTACTTATTGAACCAAGGACTTGGTTTTGCGATTCAGGATGCAAGCTGCTTGATGTAGTGTGGTCTTTTTGGGCCCAGAAGTTCTACCTCCTGGGTTTCCCGGGCCCTTAGGAAGATGGCGGTAGCACATCGCAAAGATTCTAAAGCCAGGAGGCGAATGTAAGGGCCTAAATAATTACCGCTACTATTTGGGGGGGTTCCTTATTGAATTTCTACTCTAATATATCCTAAAACACTGTTCTCATCATTAAGGCCCCTCCAGAATGCCGTTCAGGGTGAACAGACCGGTAGTAGAGGAGGTAGCCTTAACCCTAAACCCTAAGCCTTAAACGTCAACCCTCAACCCCAAACCCAGGAGAAGCCCTGGAGCTTTCAAGACCGCGACATGCGTAGAGGATCATGGGACCCAGTAAGTTAGGGTTCGGGGTTTAGGGTGTAGGTTTCAGGTGCTACAATCCCTATGTCATGCAGGGCCTTAACATTCTGAATAGTTTTTTTTTTTTTTGGGGGGGGTTCTTATTAGAACCTATAGTATCTTATACCCCAAACCCTATTCTAATTAGTCAGGCCCCTACATTAACCCCAGACGTGAACCTTGAGCTCTCCTAGAATACTGTCTTAGGTAGCTGTTGGGGAGACCCCTTAAAGGGCGCCCTGCTTAACCCTACTTAGGGCTCTCTTAAAAGGGATGTTATTGACAAAGTCTAAATATATCCCCTATAATCCCAACTCTAGACTGGACAAGCAAGAGATCATGTCGAGCTCAGAGTTCACGAGACGAGAAGCTGAAATGGGATGAGTGAATTTATCGGGTCAGGGTCGGGCCTAGTAGATGCCATGGGGGCTGTTGGGTTTCGGATCTTTGGATTTCCGGGTTTCTGTGGCAAAGCCATAATTGACAAGTCCAACCTTCAAACCGCCAACCCTACCTCTACAAAGAGATCCTGGTTAGGATCCTTAAAATTGTAGGCTTTTTTAGGGCTCACGTAGAGGATACAGTACCTTACACCCTAAACGCTGCAACCCAGACTCTTAGGTCAAAGCAGGGTTTTCGGGTTAGGGTTTGGGTTTCAGGGTTTCGGGTTTAGGGTTTCAATGACCACCTTCAGGAGCTACCCGCCCACTCCAGCGACATCGCCCGCTACATGGACCGGACGCGTCTTGACTGCGAAGTAGCCACAGAGCCCGATAGCCCTGAAGTAGGGATTCATCCTTCAAGGCAAGAAGCCATATAGACCATAAAGGCGGGATCTTTCATATCGTAGGATGATATGAGCGTGACAGATAGAAGGGAACACTACTACACACCGAAACGGAGTGTTTGCATGTGTATTATGAGGAACATCCCCTGAAAAAATAACACAAATACATAAAAAAAATACATACATACATCCATCCATCCATCCATACATACATACATACAGACAGACAGACATACATACATATGGAAAATTTGGAGAATTCATCTTCTGACACCCCATATCATATAATACACGCTGAACCCTAAACCTTAAATCATAAGTCGCAAAGTCCTAAACCCTAAGCCGTCCCTCAGCTAACTCTGAGATCCTATGAGTACTGTTTAAAGTATCCATGCAAACTCGGTGAACACCTGACAAAAAACAACCCTAAGCTAAGAAGTCCTCTCAAAAAAGACCCTAAAACCCTACTCCTTCAAGTCCTCCCAAGAGATCCTGAAGCCCTACTCCTTCACAACCCCTTAAAGCCTAAACCCCTAAACGAAAGCAGGTTCGGCTTGGCTGAGCTGGTCGGAGAGAGGTTGGCGAGCTTGTGCCCTGCTCGGAAAGTCTCAAACGTTGTGCTCTTGAGTGTCTACCTATAGTCTCCATTGTAGTTCCTTTTTTTGGTTTAACCTGCTGATTGCCAGCTACGCCATGACCCTCCGACCAAGATATTGCCCTGTCCTGCCACGGTCGTACACAACACGCGAGGGCTTCCAAGCCATGGAAAACTGAGACAGGACGGTTGAGCATATCGTCACGTGGCAGGATAGTTGAAACCCTATATAAGTCCTAAAAGCCCTTATAACTATTGCACCCTCTACCCTAAGATCTTTTGTAGAAATAGGCCTTCAAACCATAACGTTGGGGACTCCCCGGAGCTTCCTCACTTGCCGATTTAAGTCTTGAAACATGCCCAACACATGCAAGCTGGCCATTAGCCCTAAACCCAAAGCCCCTGAAACCCTAAGCCCAAAGCCCCTAAACCCTAAGCCCCTAAACCCTAAGCCCCTAAACCTAAGCCCCTAACCTAATCCCTAAACCTGAAGCCCCTAAACCGTAAGCACTAAGCCGAAAACCGCGGCATAGGGTGATGAGCATGTCCCGGGTCGTGGGCTCTGATTTTATCGCCGCGCCTTCTTTTGCATCGCCCCTTGTGAACACTAGCCCTATATGGGTTCTCTAAATTAGGGAAGGTAAGCCCTAAACCCTAAAGAACCTACCTTTCTCTAAGGACTCCTATACAAAGGCATCACAATAGGGTTTATTTTGGGCCCTTGTGATAAGGGTGCCGTAGTTTTTTGGCGACCTGAAAAGGTGCCCTGATTTAAAGAACTACCCGTATGAAGTGGGAGGTCTAGTTTAGATTATGGATGTTGGTCAATGTTTGCAAGTGTATACACAGCTGCTTGTACATAGTCGTGAGCGTATATCTTGGATTTCGTTGGCAAGATGCTGGTAAAAAGCTGACCATATGTACATTGGAGATCTTCTTGTTGTGGTTAGGCTTTTTCACAGTCCTTCTATTCGGGATCCTACTATAATCTTCACACATCTTCACGCCCGAAACCCTAAACCGTCGCGTACACAGAATCGCCTGGGGTCCGAAGCCCCTGAATGACGCCGGAAGCATGATTTCTCTGCAACTTAGCACATCAAATCCTACAATCCTGCTGGTGGGCCTTGAATCCCGGAAACCCTCAGCAGTGCACTTCCTCCTACCCCAGATGAATCATGTAGGGGCCCTAATACTTAGAATAGGGTTTGGGGGGTTCCTTATAACTATAGTATAATATACCCCAAAGGCTATGCTAATGATCAAGGCCTCTACATTACCCAGTGTTCATAGGAAGCTTTGTATACAGTTCACGAGCACTCAGTTACAAAATCTAGGGCATTGTCAGGTGGGTAGTTACCATTATAGGAGCCTTACAGAAGGTCTATATACCTTGTAGAAGCCTTAGAGAAGCCCTATATACCCTAAACTCCCCACCTGTAGTACCCTTAAACCCTAACCCTAAACCATAAACCCTAAACCCTAATTTCCTTTAACCTAAGGCTTCCTGTGCTCCCTGAGCCCAAACCTCCCAACGAGGCCGCCAGAGCAGTTCGAGGGCATGCTCAGACCAGTTTTCAAGGCAGGTCCTAAGCCCTAAACCCTAAAACCCCAAATCCTAAACCCGAAACCCTAGAACCTTAAACCCCCCGGGTTTAGGGTTTAGAGTTTGGGGTTTGGGGGCTTAGGGTTTTAGGATTTAGGTTTTAGCGTTTAGGGTTTCAGGGTATAGGGTATAGGGTTTACATAGCATCTACTTCTGGGCTAAGTGAACCCATGTTGCCGAGGGTTGCTGGTTCAGGGATGAACGTAGATTTGGACTTGTTGGCATCTGTTCGGGGTATAACTCACGCGTCAGCTGGGCCAGCGTCGAGCAGCATAGCAATCCACATTGAAGGCCACACACAGAGATGTATGTAGATTTCTATATATATATATATATTTATTTATTTATTTATTTATATTTATGGTACCCCCCCCCCCCCAAAGATCTACCTCTTCATCGCCTTTCTACACCCTCACCCCCCACTCCATACACACAGAGACACGCACACACACACCCACACGCACAGGAGGAGCTAGCTGACGTACCCTTTTGTGGCTGGGTGAACCCCACCCCGAGGATCCAAGGTACAGGCCTTGGCCGGGTACAAACCGGTACAACAGGTACAAGTTGTACCGGCGGAATCCAAGATTCCAAGATTGTTGGGAAGTCTTTTCTTGGAATCTTGGAAGAATCCCCCCGGTACAAACCGGTACAACCGGTACAAGTTGTACCGGCGGAATCCAAGATTCCAAGATT